TTTCAGAAATCGGCTTTTTCGGCCGCGGCCGATGGAGCAAAGGCCTAATTACTCGGTAGTTTTTGCAGCACGTTGTGTGGAAGCAAAAGCAGAGAAAATTAGAAAACGTTTTCTGCCGATAGTGAAAACACGGCAAGCCAAAGCAGCAGCAGTAGTATTCCTATATGTTCGGCCAGAGGGTTTCGGGAGTCAGATGACTGTATGCATAGAAGTTCGTGTGTTGGTGTGCGTTGGTGGGATGCGGAGAATGTCTCTGAAGCCGCTCTGCAATAAACTAATGCTGTATGAAGTAGATCGTTGTAAACTAGATATGCATAGACATAGGTGGCCAGAAGATATTTCCGGAAAAAATGAAAGTGCTTGCATGAAACGGAGGAACGAACAACGTGATGTTTTTTTCTTTATCTGGGGCGGGTGTAGTTTTGCAGACAGTCGTGCGCACGACACCGGCCGCTAACCCCCCCGCCTTTCGCCTGGATCAAAAGGGAGACGCACTTAGAGTTCTTTGTCTCATTTCATGCAGAGGCTTGGTGGCTTGGTTGTTGTGCGTGGTAGGGTAATTGGTGTTTTTTTTTTGTTTGTTTTTCTCCCATCATTGGCCTCTGTCGTCTGCCCCTCTGGCCCCTATCCTCCACTTCTACTGGCTAGACGACCCAACCGGGGTCACATAGGAGGGGGGGGTTGGACCCCCTCCTGCGGTTCATGCCTGAGGTATTTTTATCGCGAGAAGGGTACAGCAATCCTTCCCTCGCGACTTACGAAGTCATTATGGTTTACTAACAAACGAGCTTTGCAGCGCGTCGCTTGCATCCTAGACCAGGATTTATTTAGTGAGACAAACACCAGTAGCCATTCGGCTACCCTGCCAGGGTGGGGAAATTTCACCCTGGCAAGGTCACCAGAAAACTACCCTGTAGACTTGACCCAAACGCAGTGTGAGGCAGGGTGGGTACCCTGCCAGGGTACCCTGTACGTACCCTGCCACTCAGGGACCCTGGCGGGGTGCACACCCTGGGAAGACCCTGTGGAGACCGTGTCAGCCAAGTGGACTGACGGGGCCGAAAATTTGGATATTTTCCTTTCGATATTTGTTTGGTTATTCTCTCTTTGTATTTTTTGTTTTATTTGTCTTTTTTTTTGTTTTTCCCTTGTCGTCCCTTGCAGCAGCATGTACTGTAGTGCTCCTAGACGTACAAACACGCTCAAGCTCATCCACGCCATATATGTCGCCTTTTGACACCCCCCCGCCCCCCGCCCTGATCCGTGCCTTTCCTTGCTTCCCCCTCCCTTCGTAACATGTACGGTACGACTCCGCCGCGTCAATTCTATCAACAACTTAGCCGCCGATGGCACGTACAGAGGCCGAACGCTGCACGCAATTTATATTGCTTCTTCGACATAACACGAACGAACACGCTCCATGTGCCCAGCATAGCCAGCTGGCAATGAATGCCAAACCTTCTCCCCCAAATTATCTGATTCCATCGTAAAAAGATAAAAATCTATAAAACTGCGACGAAGAATTATTCTTTCGATGGAACAATTAAAAACCAACGCGATGAAGTTCTCTCGATGGAAAAAAATTAAA